ATAGCAGGAGCCCCGCTCCACCCCAGAGGGAGGCAGGGGCCAGGAGTGCGGGAAGGTCTCGTTGGGCAAGCTCCGTCCATCATTGACGTCTGCGGGGTCCGTGTACACCAGCACCCCCGCCACCTTGTGCTTGGCAGCGTTCACAGCCTGCAGGAGAGGGAGGAGGAGGAGGCTATGTTCAGGGGAGGGTGAGGAGGATGCACACCTGTGTTCTGGCTGTGAAGCCAGACCAGATCTATCTTCCACTGGCAGGATGATGCCAACCCAAGTCATTTATTGCAGTTCTGCTTGGACAGAGGCAAGCCAGTGCTTATGGGGGTGGGGGCTTGTTGAATAAGCAGAAGCATCTCACCAGGGAATCCTGTGCAGCTGTATAAAAGGACGATGATGTGCTGGCACACCATGATCATAGCAGTGCTGTTCACAACTACCAAAAGGTAGAAACAACCCAAGTGGCCATGGACGGACGGATGAATAAGCAACTTGTGATATGTAACGTATTATTCAGCCTCAAAAAGGAAGGAAATTCTGATACAATATTGATGAACTGTGGAGAGCAGATACAGTGTTTGGACAGGGTCAAGCCTCGGACTAATGAGAGGGCACAGTCCTCTCTCTCATTGCCATGTGCAAGTCCCCGCCTGGAGGGCAGAGCCCTCCCAGCACAATTATAGCCAAAGGCTATAGCTGTAAGCTTGAACCTATGGTCTGAACACGTGGCCCCACGTGTCTGAGTGATGTGGGTTTGATAGAGTTCAGGTGCATGTCATTGAGTAGGATTGAAACCCACGAGAATGTTGTAAACACCTTGACCACACCCTTACTGTGCCTGGTGGAATCTGGCTATAAAATGAAGACACGGCTTGTAGTCCGTGACGCTGTGTCTCCATCAGAGAGGGCAGCGTCCCACCTAGCACCCAGCTTTATTCTCTTGTCTGTCTTTTCTAATCCTTCACCGCCCCCTCTCAGGGTCACCCTTGGCCGTGCTGGCACGGCACAATCAACCTTGAAAACATTGTGCCGAGGGAAATAAGGCAGACATAAAAGAACAAATACCGTATGATTTTTCTTACATGAGATACCAAGAATAGGCAAATTCAGAGAGACAGAAGGTGAATAGAGGCTCCCAGGGCAGAGAGGGAGACAGAAGAGTTCTGTTTATAGCAGTGATGGCGAACCTATGACACGCGTGTCAGAGGCGACAGGTGAACTCATTTTTTTGGTCCCACAGGGACTTGTGGGCCACACGGCTGTCTCATTGGTTCCCCAAGGACAAGGCAGATATTTTGGAGTCAAGGAAGGGCTTGGGAGAGAACTAAGGGAAAGGCCAGGCCTTGATGTGGCCAGAGGGGAAACTCGGGGTCAGGGAAGCATAACTAGGGAGGGGAGAGGGGTTGAGGGAGGAGGCGCCCAGCTCACCTGCCTGCGAACATACCACCAGGCTCAAAGCCCGGGCCCAACTTGTAGTCACAGCCCAGTGCTCCCTGCCAGTCAGCCTGGGCTGAGGGTCCCTGGAGGTTACTGGGGAGAAGACGGAGAGCCTCAGAGCGAATATGGGTGTGGGGGCAGAAATGTGGAGGCCCTTGGATGAGGGGCAGGAGACCCCAGGACACAAGCTCACCAGAGAAGGACTTTGGCATCCTCGAAGCCAATGGGCTGAATGGGAATTGGGGGAAATCCGGAGGCAGTGGCTGGGTCCAGGCGAAAGGAAGAGGGGTTGGCTGGAAGGTAGGGAGTCAGGGGGTCCCCAAAATACTCATAGTAGGAGCCTCGTTCCCCCCCAGA